GGGAAAGAGGGGCCCGGGGGCTGGGTGTGCAGGAGCAGGAGCATCCCAGCAGGCACGCACGGGGATGCTCTAGCGTGAAAAACCAGGCTGAGCCAAGGACCAGAGGTGTCAGCCTCCCTTGAGGACCAGGGGTTGAAAAGGGGCTGCTGCATTTAAAGGCTGCATCCTTTTCTCTAAGAAGCGGGTGCAGCAGGTGATCTCCCACTTCGGTGACCTCCAGACCTCCATTTGCTAGGCTGGACAGACAAAGGTTTGGTTTTGAAGCTGTCATCACAAGCAGACAAGGAGCTTTTTACCTCTTCTCGCTTGGGCAAGGGAACATTGCGCTATTCAGGGGAACTTGGCAGTGACCTTCCCTTCGGCTGAACGGTGGGGGGATTTACAGACAGAAACAGCTACAACATTAACAATTCAAAAAGAAAAGCACCAACATGGAAAGAGACGATACAAAAAATAAAAAATATTTCTTCTTGCTATCTCCTGGTACAGCTCCATTAATTTAACTCTAAACTGTGCTCCGAAAATAATAATAGTAATAAAAACAGTTCTGTGCATAGCTGTTCATAGGGTAGTAGGATATTATGATACACAAGCAACAAACCTTAAATAATATTTAGTCATCCCCAAATGCTTATAAAACTCAGCGATAGCATGTAAAAGCACAGCCTAAACAAGCAGATCCCAGGGAGCAGGGTGTAAAGGTCCCCTCCCCTTACTGATGTTCTTGGACAGTCGGACAATTTTTGCAGAGAACGGGCGGGCATGGCAGGTCCCCGACTCGGGGACTAGGTGACATGCTCACCTTCCTCCGACTTGGACAGTTGGGAAGGCAGTACGATTTAAAAAAAAAAAAAAAAAAAAAAGGTTGAGTTCAAACTTAAGTGCCCCCCGTCCTTCCATCAAAGCCTCCAGCAATCCGGGATGTCTCATGGACGTTCCCAGCCTGAGGAAGCAGATGGCAGAGACCAGAAATTCTGTACTTTAAAATGTGCAGAGCATTGCAGGGCTGGAAACGGGAAGAGCTCCATGAATGCATACCATCACCATCAAAAAAGATAATTGTGTCACTAATCTCTTACCAGCCTGCATAAGTTTTCAGGAGGGGCTTTTAATCTGGCTGACAAACACGGGGAGAACTGTTTCAAAGAGACTGTCACAGCAGCGATCCCATCCGCAGTGCCTGACTCACCGCTGAATTCCCACTCCTGCATTAATGCTAACAATGCTTTTCATTTAAGCCCTTCGTTTAGGAGGCTTGCTGTATTAAATTGCACCATAGCTAAGAAAGGAAAAAAAAAAAAATAAATAGAAGACGACCTAATATTTTCCCCCACTTTTTTCATATACCACTCTTGCAAACGTATTGCTGTCCATCTCAGAAATCAAATTCCAGGATCTGGAGGCCCTGAAACTTTAGAAGAAAGCAAAGGCATGAGCGTGAGGACATTACCTCCGTCTGGAAACCCTCTACCAGGATGGCCACCAGTAGGTTAAAGAGAACGTAATTCCCAAATGTCATCAGAGCAATGAAGTAGAGAGCAGCCCAGGAGGAGGTCGATGCCATACCGTTGTAAAGGACCTTGTTCCAGTCTTCCTGGGTCAAAATCTGCAGAGGAAGGGTGTCAGGAAAATGGAGATAATGGAGGATAGCGTGCTGATTTCCCTGAGCCTGGCTGAGTGTCTGTGCTTTAGATGGGCCAGACAAGGACCCCACTTTGGGGGAATCCATCACAGCTATAACCACAGGAGGATAAATCTGGCCCAAGCCATCTTCTGAGCCAGTGAAGAGACAGGATCAAAGGGACTGTGACTCCCATGATACTGGTAAGGACCCTGCCCAAACTGCCCCGACACCCCCCGCACCAGGGCACACGCTCAGCTGTAAGGGACTGCAATGTCGCCTGGGCTGGACCTTTCCTTTGGTCGGCCAGAAGAGCTAAAAGTCCATAGATCCCACAGTTGTGGAGCTCAGAGCTGCTAAAACAAAAAACCAATTATGGGCTCAAACTAGATTCTCTTCTTTGTTGAAATACCACTGCAAATGGTCCTGATGTCCTCCCCTCCACCTCCACCCTCTACACTCACTTTCACCCACCCAGCCCATACCCTGCAAATGCAAGAGCCTTCTGCCTCAGCAGCCTCTCCTCATTAGCTTTCCGATTTATTCTGGCAACCAGTCTGAAAACCCCAGTGTTCCTGCACTTGTGGTTTTGGGTCCTCTCCCTTCCATGGCAAGGAGCTTGACTAAGCTGTCAGATGCTTTGGAAAAACAACCCCAGCCCTTGCAGCCCCAAAACTCACGTGAGTTGTGACATTTTCCATTTTGTACCTGGAAAACGGTGACGATGGCCCAGAGTAAGGAGTCAAAGTTCTTCCTGTCGGGCAACGTGTCACCATCTCGCTCCGAAGCAAACTTACAGCCAAAGAGGTGCATCCCCAGGATGCTGCATGGGAGGGAAAGCAGGGGCTCAGCGAGAGGACCACGGTACAAACCAGTCATCATACAGCAGGACTGACTGTCTCCTGGTTTCACCTGGGAAATTCTTTTTATTTTTTTGTTTGTTTGTTTTTAAAGAAGATGAATCATTTGTTCACTGAAAAACATGCCTCAAGATCACACAAACCAGTTGTGAATTTGGGTCAAATCCGTCAAAAACTTTCAACCGAAAAGTATGCCCACTCCTTCTTTTTCCTCTGTTTTGTTTTTTTTTAAGTCAAAACATTGTGTTTCAACACTTTCTAAACAAAATGTTTTGACTTTCTGGTTTGTAATGACACATTTTCAGGAAAATATGCTTCAATTGAATTAGGAAGACAAAAAGAGTTTCTGTGAAATGCCTGAATGAGACATATCAGGGGACCCAAACCAGCTTTTTCGATCGACAAGAAAACATAATACCTTTCATTTTAGATTGATACTAAAAGAATAATTTGTTTTCCCCTGCTCTCAGCCAGTAACCTGAATAATCAAATTATCTACAGCTCTGCTGAGCACCACGGCTGCAAAAGGTGGTTTTGGAGTGAAATGTCTCCCTGGGAGAAGGGACATTATTCCATGGAAGAGACCGGCTTTCTTCAGCCTTCCAAGAGCCTGGATTGCTGGAACACCAGAGTTGGTTGCTACCAGGAGACAGGCTCTTCTCAAAATCTAGCCCAAAATCCAAAAATCTGGGGCTACGCCAAGCCTATTTCTAACATTCCCACTTCTCGGAAGAAGAAGCCATGCAAGAGCACAAGCACCACCATGGCTGACTTTATTTTAGGAACATCACTCTCTCCTTGGCTTTTTTTTTTTAGCACCAGGGTTTCTGCTAGTCAGTAAGTAATGGGACCGCTGTCTTGGGGTGATGTCAAGGAATCACCCAGCGGAAAGATTTTTCTTGTAAATCATCTTGCAAAGACAGATGTCTCATTTGGCCAGAGTTAAGAGAATTTAGTCAGGGCAACATGCCGCTGCCAGCACTGGCCAGCGATGTTGTTGCTGGGACCGTTTAGCTCAGCCATGTCCCGGTAGGGACACTTACATCTCATCTCGCCATGGGATCCCACCTAAAAACCCAGAGCAACCTCAGGACAGGGAATCGGAAGCGCTCACCTAAAGATGAAGATGAAGAGCATCAGCAACATGCAGAACGTGGCCACGTTGTCCATGGTCTTCATGAGGACTACGAGCTGGCGCTGGAGGGCTGGCATGAAGCGGACAAGCTTCAAAACTCGCATGAGCCGAAAGGTCCGCAGGACCGAGAGCCCCCCACCTTGCTGGCCCACTATCTCCCACACGCTGAGGAAGGAAAAAAAACAAATCAAAACAAAAAAAGAGGTCATTGCAGGATGAGAAGACAAAGCCTAATGCAAAGGCACAGAGAAGACGCAAAGGGAGGGTGAAATTCAGAGAGAAGAGGGATGGAAATTGGGCAGAGATGCACTGCCAATGCCTCCAGTGAGCTGGACTCCATCCAGGCTTGCAAAGAGCAGAGCCCCACTAGAGTGTCAAAAACACGCCTGCAAATCAGTGGCTGCAGCTGCAGGGGCAATTACAGCCTTTGCACGTGCCAAAAAGACAGAGAGCTACTTAATCAGGCACTGGTTGTACCATTTGGATCCCAGACTTTCCCAGGGCATTGGGACTGATAGCTTTCTGCTTGGGCATCTCTCTAAAATGACCATAAACTAACCCCAAGATATGTATTAGCAATTGTGTCTAAGTGCATTAATTTACAGCACAGAAGTATAAAGTGTCATAAGAAGGTATTTATGCCCACTCTCCATTACTTTCTGTTTAATTAAACAGCCAAATGAGGGGAAACACACATAAAGAAAGCTGTAGGTTTGTACCTAATCACCACAATGATCCCATCAAAGATGTTGTATGGATTCTTAATGTAGCCAAAAGGACCATAAACAAGGACTTTCAACAGCATCTCCAGGGCAAAAAGGCTTGTGAAGACTATGTTGCTGATCTCCAGGGCATTGGTAAGCTCCTCCGGCTGGGGAAAGAAGAGAAGGAAAGGGAGACAGTAAGCAGCATGGCTCCGTATCCAAAATTACAGCTGGAAATACAACAAGCCCCAATACCGCAAGCGTAGCAATACCGATGCTAACGGTGCAGCGAGAAAATAGCAACAGCTCACTCAAAGCCCAGGGGAGAGAAGAAAAATACTATCAGAGTATTTAAGGTTTATACACCCTTTGTAAATTGAGCAGGTAAATCCAGACATGGACTTCACGTTAATCACAGCTTTAGTACCACCTCAGGAGGTTTATGTAGAAACAGCGTGGACCGAGTCTTAACACTTTCACACCCGCCAAACCAATTCGCCTTACGCAGAGGGAAAAGTCGGACCGTTTTCTCACATAAATATCCTTTTAGGGCCGGTCTTTTCATTCAATATCTCATCGAAAGATTTAAGCTAAGATTTTTCAAAAGCAGAGGTTTGAGGTGATATAACTGGAGTGGCTCAAAAAAGCCCCATTATCAGGAGGAGCCAAACACTGCTACTGAGGAAGGGCCCAAACCTGGCATTCCAGACTGGCAATCTAAAAATAGAGGTATGAAAAAAAGCCTTAACAAACAGACTTCCAGTAATCTTAGACCTAAATTAATACCTTTCATGTTTTTCTAGCATATTTCACAGAGGGTTCCCAACAATGCCTGCAGACACCCAGCGCTGCGCTTTCCCCGATGGGTGGGCGGGCATTATTGGAAAACATATGGCAGAAGACAAAAACCGGTGGCGTAGTCTGTTTAGGATCAGTCAGTGACAAAGACAGGAGCAGAATCTGCAGTACCAGATCCCTTCTCCCCATTTAACCCCAACACACGGCCACAACTGCACATTTCTACTCAAAGGCTTCATTAAAATCAGGAGCCAACGTCCTGCTGGCAGATGGCCGCGTGGGCATGTCGGCAGCGCCGAGGTCCTCCGCAGGGCAGTGGGTTGGCACAGTTCACAAAACACCTTACAGACAGCGGGTGCTGGATTCCTTTTTGGAGCGGTTTGGCACTTAACTCACTCAGATACTTTAAGTCCCCACGCGTAACCACCAGCAGCTTTAGATGCCCGAACATCGTGGTGGATTATGGCCAGATGTGCAAGTTCACAGCCGCTACCCCACAAGCAGAAGCCAATGTGCAACACATGCTGTTGACTGCTCCCACCACTTACATGAAACACCTTCATGGCTGGCCAAAAACTTCCTACAACAGACCAGGAGCTGCCACGCCATGGCACATGCTGTAGGGTTTGACATGAGGAGACCCAACCCCAACCCAACCCCATGGGAGCCAGGAGAGGGGATGGCTCAGGGGCAGGGTCGACACTTGGTCAACCGTGTTTCAGAGCCCCAAGAAACGACAGCGACTGAAGGCTTCACAGATATATGCTGGAAAATAAATAGAAAAATCCACGTGGGCATTCAACTCTTTCTTTCTTCAGGGTTGAAGTCTCCAGGCGCAGCTGACCGAGCCCTTGCAGCTCAAGTTCCTCCAACCCAGTGCGATGGTAGATGGGGACCCAAATTGGCCCGGTATTTCAGCGTGGTAGCGTAATCCCTGGGGACTCGCACTGATACCGGTGGGAGCTTGTGATGACACAGCAACAGTCACAGGATAGCAAAGGGGGGAACAGCAGCGTTGAAAATGAAATGTAACAAAAAAGAAAGAAAAGGTGGCATTGAACACTTCCTATACGTCAAACATCCTCGCTGAGGAATGGATCCCTTGGCTAGAGCTTGCCAAACACACAAGACATGCAGCCCAAATCGCCTCCTTGCTAATCTAGAGCTAAATACAAATGCTCCAGCTTCTGATATTAAACGCAGCCTTGGTTTAAAATCATGTACCTATGGGAACACTCAGACACACAGTAATAAATAGGCCAAGAACTTATATGTCAAGCTGCACCTCAGGACAATTTCAAATAGTTGAAAGTCTACATTAGTCACAAAAAAAATGCCAACTCATTCACAAGTGCCCCAGCACCAAGGCAGGCTGTGCTGTTATCATTACCGCAGCGATACTGCTGGAAAGGAAACATGTTCCTGGAAGCTTTCCTTCTCATCCATCAGCGCCACTAACCTGGGCCCCAAAGGCTGATTTCCACCCTCTGGTCCCGCTCTGCGACCGTGCTGCCGAATCCAGCCGGCCCCGCAGGCACAACCCAGTTAAGTCCCTCGACGCGTGAGCAGCGCCCGGCATCTCCCGCAGCCGCGGCATCCCTTCCCCACGGGGGCTGACATGGAAAACCCAACCAGCCCTGGCAGAGATGTCGTGTTAATAGTGTGGATTAATGAAATTTTGCACTTCGTGAGCAGCTTCTGGTTGGAGATGTCATTGGGACGTATAAATCCGGATGGGAGGTGCTGGCAGGGCACAGCTGGGAGATGTGGGGAGCCATGGGGGAAGCAGTGCTTATGCTGCAACTCTCCCAGGACCCCCAGCACCCATTGGAAGGGCTGTGACCCCACCACGCTTCCGCCTGTGAAACATCCCTCCCAGCCCACCTGGCTCACGAGAACCCCAAATACCCCTAGCGCTGATGCAGGAGGGCTACAGGTCAGCCCATGTAGTCTGGTGATGCTCAGCACCTGCAGCAGTGCTGGATTTGTTCATCTCCCCCTGCTTCACCCTGAAAAAGCCGCCTGGCCCCCCACTCCTCCTCCACACACCCTTTTTCCACTTCCCTCACAGGAAAGGGTTTTTTAATATCCAAGATATTGGGCACTCATAATAAAAGAGAAGAGTGGGATCTCCTGAACCAGAGGTGAGAATCAAGATCCAAAAATCTAAGATTAATGGCCAAAACAGGTTGAAAGAGGAAGGGAAAAGTTCCCTTTCACCCCGCCAGGAGAAGAGGAAGGTCTCCAGGGCAGCCCGGCGCTCTGCCAGGGGACGGCGAGGCAAGCATCTCCTGGAAGCACACCACAGCCAGGCCCGGCTGAAATGGAGGAGTTATTTTGCTTTGGGAAACAACACATCCCTCACAGTTGAGATGGGGCAGTGTGAATTACTCGGAGGATTTTTGCAGCCGGCTGCAGAGTGTTCTCCCCTAAGCCCCTCGCTCCTGCTCGGGGGGTCCCCAGGGCAGCTCATGAGCCCCCTGCAACAGCTCCACATCCCTTTCAAGGGACACATCGCTGCAGCCAGACCACGGGACACCCGCCTGGACCCGCACTGGGAACTGTTTATAAAAACAGAGGTGGGCTGAGATCATGATCCTGCCCAAGGGGATCACAGCCAGGCAGTGGGGATTTAGGTACTTCTGAGAATGCCAGCTATGGGATTTCCCCGCAGCCATAGATGCGTATGTACAATAAGACTGTTTATAAGATGCTTCTGCTCGAGAGAAATCACAAACATGTCTGAGACGTCTTTCCTTAGACATCATTACAATACAGCAGGAAAGTGGCTTTTCTTTCCTGTGGGAATTGAAATTGTCATCCCATTCCAAACAGGAATGCAGAGTTTCAGAATTGGCAAACCGAAACACACTGTGCCCAAAATTTTGAAAGCTCTCGCCTCCATTTCAGTCTCTATTCTCTTATCCATTTGCTCTGTACCGTAAATCAACTGAAATTAAAAAACATAAATAAAAGTCAGCTTGAGGAAGAACACAGACCTTTTTGTTCCCAAACTGTTCAAATGGACATTTCAAATATCTCAGACAACATATTTCAAAAATTAATTTTTTTTTCAAGCTAGTTCACTGAAACCGCTCGCCTCCCACAAACAACTTCAAGTTTGACAAACTGCCATTTTCTGACAATAATTGTCTAATCAAAACAATATTGACCAGCTCTAGACATAATGTACCTGGGAGAGTCACCGACTCCTGACACCCAACCGACTCCACGGGTCCTCACTGGGCACGGAGGAAAAGAGGAAAAGTAAAATCAAGCAGCTTTCCCCTCCGAGGGCCACAACACAGCAGCGAGGGGAGGTCACATCCTTCCTTGGACTAAAGGATAAATTTGGAAAACAAACCCCTCCGGGACCCCCCCAGAAAGGGCATTTTGCAGGGAAGCAGAACCCGAGATGCAGATCCTGGGGTTTCTTTGCAACACAAAGCCTCCTGCCCACCACCCCAACTACAGCACATCTGCCACAGCCTCAGCTTCTCCATTAAAAGAAGAGTCTGCTAATTCTCTCACCAGTAGCAGCAGTGACTAATTAAAAGGAAAGCATCCTATGATTAAACAAGCAACACCAGAAGGAGCGAGACACAAGCGCGATTCAGCTGTGGCACGAAATACCAGCTCTTCTGATGAGTCTTTGGTAAATACTGAATTTTGTTTCCAGGACACCTCGCCTTGCTGGACACACAGACATGGTGTCCTGGATAAATCATTCCCTGTTAGCTCTCTGTTTGTGTAGTGTCGATTTGTTGATGTACCAAACAGCACATTGACAAGCTCTGGCAGCACATAAAATAGGAGCAGACAGTGCAGCATCCCTCACAAACATCACACGGCAAAGGCAGGCGGCGGGGAGGAGGGGAGCAGTGGGCGCCCACCCAGAGGTAACCCTGCCCGGCAGGGTGCAAACCCTGGCAGCGAGGAGGGGATGCTCTCTACACCCTGCCTGGCACCAAGCCGTCGGGGACAGGAGGAGGCAAGGGAAGATGTCTGGAGGTACTAAATGTTACCTGGAGGGGTACCTCAGAGCTGGACCAGTGCCTTGCCCTGTTTCAGCATTCAGAAATAGGCTGTAACGCATTTCTTTCAAATTTTATTTTTTTTTCCCTCTTTTTAAACTGAGTACAAGCTGATGAGCAAGGTTTCCAATGGCAGAAGGGACGGGCTCCGTCCCTGGCTGAGCATGAGATGGTGGCACACACTACTCCTTCCTGCGCACGGGGCTCCCAGGTGTCTGCTGAGCAAGCGAGGCTGCAGGCAACAAGTGGGGAAAAAGGTGAGGACAGGGTCTGGGGTCTTTAAAAGCACAAGCCCTGGGGACTTTGTTCCCCAATTCCTGAAAGACAAGCCTTGC